ACACTGCCAGCACCCAAACCCAATACCCACAAACAGAATTAGCTTTAATAAAATAATAAAAATACTGGTATTACTACTGGAATACAGAAATAGTTTCTAAAATTTACTACCTAAATAGAGAATGATGATTCTATGTAATATTTCTCGGTGACCACACCTCCACTCTCTCTTTTACTAGTGACTTCTTGTTCTTTCACTGTCCATTGGCTAGCAGCAAAATTTGGGCCTCAGAAATTAGAAAAGGTAAGACCCTAAAGAGTCAGTATTTCCAAATATCAGTAACTTTGTATAAAAAATATGATTTTTTAAAATGTGGTTCACAACGTTAGCTAAATCCAAATGTTGCTGAGTAGTTCCTCTCTGGAAAGAGTTACATAGGATTGGTTAAGGTTGGTTTCGTTTTTAACAAGCTGCCTCCATCTGTGTCTGTGCACCTCAGAAGCACCTGAGTCCTGCCCTTGTGCATGTCTCCCTGTAGGTGCGAGAGTGTGTGGGTGTGTGAGGGTGACATGACTTGTTTCGAACCTCACAAGGCAGAAATAGTAATTTCAACTAAAACAATTCATTTGTGATGTTCTGATTATGGGCCAATCCCACTTCTGGGTTCTGGGTCTCATGTTATAAAAATGAATGAAACATAAAATCAGCACTAATTGTATTTATAACCTATTGGCAAAACAGACACACATACACACATAATTATAATTCAATCTGCTAGTCTACCTATATTAAGACAAAGAAAGGGACATGCTTTTTTCTGTGGTGGCATGTACTGAGGCAATTTGGAAGCCTTTTTATATTTAAAGGACGTCTGAGTTGAGTCCTACAAGTTAAGATCTCAACAAGCGAAGTCAGGATAAAAAGAGTAAAGGGTGACCAGGACTGAGCAAGAAAGCCACAGGCAGAAGTGAGTAAAGTGCACAGTGTCGTCAGGGAACAGAGAGGGACCTGGAGCTCTGGGAACAAGGTCCAAGTGGGCAGCCAGAGAGCAGAAGGCTGACTGCTGGGCGCTTGGCTGCTTCACAAATCCTGGGATTGAATCTTGACATGGTGGGAGATTTGGGAAACGACAGTCAGATCTATGTTCATGCACCACATGGACAGCAGTATAGAGGAGGGGCAGCCAGGGCGAGAAGCTGCAGATAGGCAAATCAGTTGGAAGCCATTTGCAAGCTCCCAAACCCAATACTGACAAATAGCATCAACTTTAATTAAGTAATCAAAACATCATCCTTAAACTAGAAAAGCTCTGAAGTGGGGTGGTAACCAGGAGATTGTAGGAGAGAGAGAAAGCTGAAAAACTTTTGTGTCAATGTTGACAGCAGCTGGAGATCTATCAGATGTGCGTGTGTTAAAAACAAGTACACAAACAAACAAACAAAACCCTGAGATGGTGCAGAGGTGTGTCTGTCTCAGATGGAGGCTGCTGGCACTAGTCCAGACAGGGAGCTTTAAGGAGCAAGTGTCTGGGGAAAAGACGGCATTCGGTTTGATCAAGTAGTTCACACACAGTAGTCTCCACAAGGTGCGGCAGCACGTGTAAGTCTAATACGCACTGTGCAATGCTCGCAGCCACTAGCACACTGAACAGCTCGGCGCAGCTCCTCTGTGCTGAGGTGTGGGTGACTATAAAATACTGGCCAGCTTTCAAAGACTTGACGCAGAAGAAAGAGGGTAAAATACTTCATTAACAATTTTAAAGGTGATTATATGTTGAAATAATAATATTTTGGACATAATAAGCTAAGAAATATTTTACTAAAACTAAATTCACTTGTTTCTTTTTACTTTTTTTAAAATGTGGCTGCAAGAACCTATTACCTTTGCGTATCTGTCTCATATTTCTATTGGACAGTGCTGATGTCAGGAACTTTTAATAATACATTGAGTTAAAAAAAACTCTCCTCCAAAAATATGATTCCTGTGCCTGAATTGTGATCATTCTATGAAGCTGACTCTTTCTGTCTTGTTTTTGTATGTTACTTTGTATCTCATATATGTATTAAATGACAACATGTTTATGTTACTGTGTGAAAGGATTCTGATTACCAAAATAAATCATACGAACAAAATCTCTTCAGACTTTCAGAGAAGGGTGAAAATAAAGTAGGACCAGAAGTTTCCAGGAAGCAGGTGGGGTGGAAAGCACAGGGGATTTAGAGGCAGGGCTGTGGTTCTACTACCTGCTTTTCATGTTGCCCCCATGACCTTGGTAAACAATGACCCCTCTGATCTTACCGTCAAACTGCAAAATAATAAGGCAGCCCCATCCAACTCCTATGACTTGATGCTACCATTTCATGAAGCACAAAGAACTTCATCAGATTTATAAACACTGAGAGCATCTGACTACAAGAAAAGGATGGAATTCCATAGAGGGTAAGCAGGTGAGTGTTTACAGAGGCACCAACTCCAGAAGGAGCAAAACTTTTAGGAGGAACGTAAGATGACTTAAGACCAGGCATCATAAGGTAGATTTATGGAGGAAGAGTTTGAAAACATTTGGAGGTAAACCATAGAGCATTTCCAATGCCAGCCTAAGGAAATGGAACTTACCCTCAACACCTTGTGCCCTTTAAAAGCATTTGGCAATCTCTGGAGACATTTGGTTGTCTCTAGACAACTAGAAAAGGAAGGACTGCCATTGGCAGCAAGAGGGTAGAGGCCAGCCATGCTGCTGAACATCCTACAGAGCACAGTTCCTCAAAGGGAAGAAGCACCTGGCCCAAAGCATTGAAAGTACCATGGTTGAGAAACCCGGCTCTTAGGGAACAGGGAGGGATTCCAGATAGACGACTCAGTCAGTGGACAGATCTCTCCCCTGAAATCCAGGCTCACCCAGTCTCCTGCCTCTTTGGCGTGTCCACTTTAAGGGCTACATGATAGCACAGATTTACTATATACAAACCAACCTCCTCATTTCTGCCCCCAAACCTCCTCCTCTGGTGGCCTCTGCATTTCTACTGATGGCAATTCTATCCTTCCAGTTGTTTAGGCCAAAATCCTCCACTGTGTGACCTTAAAAATATATCCAGAAACCAACTTTATTCTTGAGCTTTCTTCTTTGGAGTGGTCCTCTCTCTTCATATCACTGCAGTCACTATCTAACGGGTCTCTGCACGCCCACTCTTGCCCCCAGAATCTATTCCCATCCAAGTCATAGGGATCATCCTTCTAAAACGCCAGCCAGACCACATTACTCCACACATCCTCCACAGGCATCCCATTTCACTCAGGGCAAAAGTCAAAGTCCTTAAACTGGCCTATGATGGTACGTCAGGAGATTCAAACTCTTTCTGCACAAGGCCAAAGGGTAGTAAACATTTTATGCTTTATGGGAAAAAATGGTCTCCACCTCAACTACTTAACTCAAGGCAGCACTAGACAAAATGTAAGTGAATGGTTGTGGCTGGTATTCACAAAACCAGGCCATGGCCAAGATTTGGCAAGTCGGCCAGTTTCCCAACCCCTGTCTAACAGTCTCTTTTCCTGCTTTATTTTTCTCCATAGCTACTTGACACCATCTGCCATACTGTGTATCTACTTGTTTATTTTATGTCTCCTCTAATTAGGATATAAGTCACAAGAGGGCAGGCACATTGTCTCTTTTCTTTGTGCAGTCTCTCTAGTACCCATAACAATTCCTCATGTATAACAGGCATTCAGTAAATAACTGTTAAATGAATGGAATGAGCGAAGATGAGGATGAAGATGCAGTCATGTAAGAGATCACTGGCCTGCTGATAAGTCACTGTACATGCACAAAGAGAACTAAAACATACAGTCCACCGTCCATACTGTGATGCCCCCATCTCATTACACTGGGCAAATATTTCCTAACACCACCATTTCAGTTTCTTAGTCACGAGGGTAACTGTAATTAGGATAACAGAAGGATTTTTCTGTTTCTGTCACACTGTATTTTTTTCAAAGCCACTCTCAGTACCTATTATTTTGTTTCATCTTGGCAAAAGTTCCATAAGGAGTCAGAAAAAATTTCTAGTACCCACATCACTAATTAAAAAGACAAGACTGTGGACTGAAATAAAATCTACAACCTAAAAGCTGAGAGCTATGTTTTATTCGGTGGACTTTCTGAGGACTCAGCCTGGGATAACAGCCTCTCTGGCTCTAAGACACAACTGGTTCTCAGAGACTGCTCTGAAGAGGCAGGGGAGGAGCCAGGATATTAGGAGTTTTTACAACAAAGACCAGGTAGTGGGAACATCAAAAGATTATTGTTAATTAAAGAAAACCAGACATCTCAAGTTAAAGAATTTAGCACTTTCCTATGTATGGGAAGGTGCAAAGATTTGGGCTCACTGAAATCATTCCTCTGATATGCACCCTAGCTATCTAGGGCCAGCATCCTGTCCTTCCACATCCTGAGTTCCCTCAGGGTACATCGTTAGGGTGGCTGCAGAGGCCAGGCTGCCCGTTTGTCTGCATCCTGGGTTTCCTCCACTCATTGTTAGGGGTGGCACAGTGGCTGATAACTTGATGGCCACATCATTCTTTGTTTACTGATATGGCTTGTGATGTTTTTCGTTCACAAGACAAAGAGGTTAAATAACTTTCCGAGGGTCGGAGCATTAGTGAGTCCTTCACAGAACCAAGCCTAGAACTGAGTGATCACTTTGTCCTGATGCCTTTTTCTCCTCTCATACATCTGATTCTCAGTAGTCAAGGTTTTATGCTTCACAATAAAAGGGAATATATTCAGGGGAAAAAATGAGACGAACTCTGTCCCCTGAGATACTTTTGCAAAGTTGTGGGAGAGAGCAAGGCAGTTAAATTCACCCATCCTTGAAAATAATAATCCTCTAGGCTTTAATAAGAGAATTATTGGGTGCTAAATGACAATTTGCTAGTGAGAATGAAGAATTAAGGTACTATTTACTGGGAAGGTAGTAAAACCTTTTTTTAAAATAATCAAACTTTTAAACTTCTATGACCTTCATCTCTCTAGAGGCTCTCCCACTGGGTTTTGGCAGGGGTACTCAGTCTGAAAACACTTCTGCATGGTCTTCCAGCTTCTTTCTTAATCAGGGGTTTGGGGAACCAGTGTCTGTTTTCTTAGTGGCAAAGAGGCAGGCAGGGAGATTTCTGAATTCCTATTCTGAGGTCAACCATATCCTAAGGAAGAAATGGAAATGTGAAACAGGGCTTTTTCAGCACGACATTCTGATTTATGACATTTGGTGTGCTACAGCTTTGTTTCTTTTGGAGATAGCATCAATGTAAATTTCATACAAACTCTCCTTGTATCTTTCCAACTAACAGCTGAAGGTAGCTTTAAACACCTGAAATGTCATTTACATACAAAAGAACATCTCAACAGCTTCTGGTTTCCATCCTTGGGATTCTCCCTTTCATTCTTTATCTCTAACAACATAGAAAAACCTTTATAATCAACAAATCCACCAGTGAGAAACTTATAATGGTGTCCTAAAGAATAAATTCCCAATTAGAAGTGCCTCACTGAGCACGGGAAAGAATCTGGAGCTGCCTCTGTGCTCAGCAGGAACACAATGGGGGGCATGGTGTGAAAGGGGTAAGTAGAAACACGATGCCACAAGTTTGTCATTCCAGACGCACTGACCTATATTTTCAACCTTCTCTCTCATCACTCCCCTTCAGCTTGGCTTCCCTCCTGCTGCCAAAAACATTCTGTGGTCATGCTTCCCCTTCTCTACAAGATTGCTCTTTTCCTAAAATGCAGTCCCTCTACATACATACAGACAAGCACCTCTACAGATAAACAAGGTAACTTTTATTATTAGAGTGTGATAGGTACCTCCCTAAAGAACGAACATGATACAGTTGGCAGCACATCACCTTGGGTGGGGCTGGGATGAGGATGGAATAGACTTCACATGGCAGTTGTTACTGAGCTGAGTTTTCAAAGATGAGAGGGATGGTCCCCACAGATCAGGGAGGAAAGGACAGTGTAGACAGAGGAAGAAAGTTAAGTGCCTGAGGGCTCTAGCAATGTTCTACCTACTTCTCCAGGCTCTCCTGCCTCAAACTTCAGTGCACACATTGGTCTTTAACTTTCAATTTAGTGTTTCTTGTTACTTCCAAATACTTAAATCTCCATCTTTTAACTCCATAGCAAGTCTAAGGATTTGAATTTCTTTGAATCCTTCAAAAGTGCATTCCATATCATGAAGGATTAAATATACTTGATGCATGGAGGGTGGGAAGGGATAGACTGCGATTTCAAAATTGTAGAATAGATAAACAAGATTACACTGTATAGCACAGGGAAATATACACAAAATGTTATGATAACTCATAGAGAAAAAATGTGACAATGAGTGTGTATATGTCCATGAATGACTGAAAAATTGTGCTGAACACTGGAATTTGACACAACATTGTAAAATGATAAAAAAAAAAATGGACAGGAGACCTAAACAAGCAATTCCCCAGTGAAGACATACAAACGGATAATAGGCACATGAAAAAAAAAAACTTGATGCATAAAACTAACGATTAATTTTTTCTTTATCTGCTTATATTCTTTGAGTTCTTGGCGTTTGTAGCTGCCCATGATAAAATCCAAACTTTTTAGCATGACACACAAAGTCCTTTCTGGTCTGGAGCAAACCTACTCCTTCAGCCTCATTTCCCCTCGTTCTCGAAGCTGCATCCTTCCCTACTTACATTATCATCCCACAAACACACACTCATACACATCCCTTAGCCTATGATAATGCTGAACTACTTAACATTCCTCAAGTTTGCCTTGGCTTTTCTTCATATATTCTTGACACTTCATAACTTCTTCCGTCTGTATTACCATTTCCTCCCTAATCTTTGGGGATCATCCCTCTTTTCATCCTTGAAAACTTCAGGTCAATGACAACTACTCTGTGAAATCCATTCCCTCCCCACCTACAGCCCCACCCAACACGGGAAGCCACCACCATACCATGTATGGTCTTCTATAAGCAGCCTCTACCATGCTCTAATAATAAAGGTAACTTGTTTGTGTGTTTTTCTGCCTTACTAGACAATCAGATTCTTGATGTCTATGTCTTATTCATCATTGTTGATCAGAGTGTCTAATAAATGTGGAGCATTGTACAAAGTTCTAAAGAGAATTTTTAAAAAGTACAAATGCAGAAGCAAACATTCCCCTTTGGGGTATTTAAAAATTATTTAGCTGAGTTACGTAAGTATACATTAAGAATACTTATAAACAACTTGTATCAGTCAGGGTCCCATCAGGAGTCAGAAATCAGATCAGTACTCTGAGTAGAAAAAAGTAATATAAATAATTATTAATTCATAAAAGGAGGTTACTACTAAAGGGACTAAAAAGAGAACCCTAAGCAGTTTAGAATTCCCAGGTACAAAAAAGCAGCTACTACCTCTCAGTAGTAATGGATAATCAGGGGACCCAAGAAACAGATTCAGATCTCTTCCAAGAGGGTGTGGTCTGAGAGCTCAACCAAAGCTACCACAGGTGTGGCCCATGAGAGGTGCCCAGACGCAGCCCCAGGTTGATGAAAGCGTGGCCTGGGAACGTGGCTGGAACTGCTGGACTCCCACACTGCACTGGCCAGTGGAGGACTGGAGCACGAGGGAAGTACCTGCCTGCCCTATCACCCTGCAGTGTCCCTCTAGTGCCCTCTATTGGCAAAGGCTTGCATCATGCCAGCGGCAAAGGAAAACTGTTACAGGGTCCAGTTGCATTTTCACAAAGCGGGGCAAGGAAGGATTTGGAGCTGAAAGACAATAAATGGATCACTGACACAAGCTTCAAAGCAAAATTAAATTGGGCAAATTAACATATGATATAAAATGAATATTATATGGAAGTGCTATGGGCAGTTAACCCATCATATTTCATTTCTAAAAGAAAACTGTAAATGCCCTTTTGATTTTTTTATAAACCAACAAAATTTTAACGTAGAACCTTGCAAAAGTAATATTGCCTGGGTTCAGTTGATAACAGGTTTTTAAATCTCAGGGGTTAAACACATTGCTTTTTCATTTTTCTTTTTTATTTTTTTTAAAGTTCTAATAAAAAGGCAAGTTTCTGTAACCTGAAATGAGGATTTTGAAGTATTTGAAATATTATCAGAATTGTCGTAGAACATCTTAACCAGAACCTGCAATAGAAAATATTTTTCACACGACAGAGTTACTTCTTTCCTGTACTGCTCTTCACAGTAGTAAGAGACAATGGAAGGCTAAAAAAACAATGGGAAGCAGAAACACATCAAGCCAGTTAATTTTTGGCAGCGAAGCAATAATTTTATGGAATAAAATGAAAGAGCAAAACACGTTTACATCATAAGATGAGACTAATCAAACTTATTAGACACTGGGTACACTGGAGAGCCACAGCCTCTGCTCGCTCCCCTGAAACCTAGGCTGCACAAACTATGCCTGCCCAATATCTGTGCTACTTCCCTTAAAGTGTTCCACTACCAACATGATTCAGATGTTGTGAGTGTAATTCT